TTTCAAAGCTTTCGTCCAATTTGCTACAAATCGCAGAAAATCCCAAAAAAGCTCCGAGGATTGCTGGCTGCGTTGAAACGGATAGGAAGACGAAATAAAAAATCAACAAGGAATGTATACTTGCATTATTTCGCGAATAATTGCGCGTGACTTTTCAATCCCTTAAAGAATTAGCAATGAAACTACAACGGTATTTAAATGCCGTGAAATTTTACGACACTCGCAGAATTATTATCATAGCGCGCAATAATTTCGTGGAAAATCATTTTCGGAGAGTGAATTCGTCAAAGTTGCACGTACGGAACGTCGTTATTTTTTTGCAATTAATTTTTGTGCATAATTATAATAACTAGAAAGACGAGATGAAACTATTTAAAATGAGATGTGAATTATCTTAGCGGACAGTTTTAAAAATCAATAGTGTACCGAATCCTATTAAGAGAATTTCTAAGATCTGTAACCAGCCTTGCAAAGATCCCATGCCCGGTAGACCCCTTTTCATTACGAGACAAACCCATCCCTCTTACAGAACTCCGATAATTCAGTAAAGTCAATTGTCTATAGATCTGTAGGTCAGAGGCTATAACTTTCCCTACTGTTATAAGTGAAGGCTATTATTACAACTATCCTATTTGTACAATAAACTGTGTAAATGTATTACCTTTTATTATAGTAGTCTTCAATTGACAGTTTGCTATCTTTTTTTTATTAAAAGAGGAATCCTTTATTTATAATATAATTCAATATAAAATTTAATTCAAAGATATTATTTTTAAAAATCATACTTTAATAAGAGAATTTATTTTAAATAAATTTATTATAAAAATGAGTTAAATAGACTTAAATAAAATTGTTTAATAAGATATTTCGTTGAATTTATATGTAAATTCATATTAATTCAAATATCCATCGGTAATCACAAATTTTTTTACTGAAAATTTTGTGGTAAGTCATGAATTATTGAAACTTCTTAATACTCAAGATTAAATAGCTTAATGATTAAATCTTTAATTGGAATTAAGCTTATTCAGCATTAAATAAATGATAAAGTCCTTTGTCATTTAATTACTTAGCAGAAGTTTAATTCACAAAGTTGCCTTCATTTTCTCTCGTTCATAACTGGCGAAGATCATTAGTATTTTGACATTATAATAGAGAAAAATTGAATTCCAAGCATTTGAAGCCTCTGCCAATAAGATTAAAGTCTTAGAGAGAAATTGATATAAATGAAGATAACATACTAATATAATGTAATAAGTTTAATTGATTCTTCTCTCTCTTTCTCTCTCTGCCCCCCTCTCTCTCCACTTGACTCTCTCCTTTTACTCTTCTAAACGCGTTGCGTCTTTCTCTTCGAAATAAAAATATTTGAACCTTGACTGATCGAGTAAGGGTAACGTAATAAATCGTTGCGTCTCTCTTTATCGCTTCTTATTGACATTACCATTGGTATCTAGACTGCTAATAACTCGCCAAGGAGTGGCGACAGCTGATACGCCATCGGCTGTTGGCTGTTCCCTTGAGAAAAGGTGAAGTATAGAAGAGCGCAACGGGGCGCTCCACAAGATGCGCCGCAATAAACCCGAGGGGTGAGATCGCTCTTGGAAGTCGATTACTCGCTTCCTGCCTCGGAGAGAAGAAAGTAGACGGCGGTCGCGAGGTTCACCTTAATCCGATTAAATACGTCATTCTTGGCCGAGCTCTTTTATACTAGACTATTACGAGGAAACCGCAACGTCGCCGTTTATCGATCTCGGATCGCGCTCGTTCCACTCTGCTGAATTACGTCTTTTCTATACGACGATCGAATCGTCGACGGCAATAATTGTCCCCTCTGCGATATACAACAATGTCGATGACCGGGATAAAAAAAATAATATCGCGCTCCTCGCGAGAGAATGGGCGATCATCGTGTTATGCGACGCGTCGATAAACTGGCAGATAAAAAGATGGGGTCAAGAGACGTTTAATAAAATGTCATCTCCGCAGTCGGATTAAGGGTCGAAATCATATATAAATTTCGCAACCGGCGAAATTTGATCGTGACCCAAAAGAATTTATCGCGACTAATCTGACCGTTAAAATTTATAGAGTGCATCACGAAAAACAGCCGAATCGTTCATCTTGAAATATTAGTTTAAAAGTTTAGGAAAATAATTATTTAACTTTTCATAGCGCATCACATATGCTGCGCTTGTATATAAGTGCGTCACAAAAATACGTAAGAAATGTGTCCCTTTGTCTTTCCAAACCAATATTTTAATTAACATTATTTTTTTACAAAATTCAATACTCGATACAAGATATATTAATAAATATTAGCCAAGAAGTCAAACAAAGAAGCCAAAAAAAACGTTGACTAAAGACTCACAATTTTTGATAACGATATTCTCGTCTACGATTTCGCTAAGGCTGAACTTACGTGATTATTTAAATTTTAAATTGTTCAGTACAAAATTTGCACGCGCGCAATTAGAGAGATGGAAAATATTTTGGGAAAAGTTACATCACCATTATCGACCATTATGATTTGCACTCGGGAGTACAAGATCCACACAATATGCTTCCTCCACACAGATTTCGCCGCACATAATTCCATCCGCGCCCGCCCGTCAAATCGCGGAGATTGCATTAGCGTAGAGATTGTATTAGCCCACGACTGCACTTTGTGCGGTATGTTAAAAAGTATTATCGTCCTTTTACGCAAACTCACCACGTTAATTCCCACGTTATGTTCACACCACGCGAGATCAGATGAAAATTTATTCTAATGTAACACACTAGAAAATTATGCATAAGCGAGTAATATCTCTTGGGGAAACAATTTTACATAAAATTTTTCTTTCGCCACTTATACGACGTAAGTAAATGTGCATCTAAAGTAGCGTACAATTATTTGTTAGATAAAATTGTTCAAACCTGTAACATTTTCTTAGATCAACTCACTGAGCTGCCTTCCTTCTGTTAAAGTTTGATTAATGATGAGTTTCCTTTTTGTGATTTAATTTCCATATTAACTTTGTCTCTAAGAAAGTTTCACCTTGAAAATACATTTAAAACATTACATTACTTTTAAAAAGATGTTGATTGGTCATTATATGGAGCTTAAAATTGCTATTTCTCCAAAATTGAATGCATGATAAACTGTGTGCATGTGCAATTCAGAGTTGCAATTGAAACAACTGATCTTTTAATTTTTAACAAGAAACGCGGAAAAACAGCTATTGTCGAGTACGTTTTATAATTCTATTTAATTTGAAGTTAGGACGTTTCTCGCGGCTCTGTCGCTAACGATTTCAACCGCTCTCCGTTCATCAACCTTCGTTTTTCTTCCGAGAATATACCAGCCGAAAGCGGAAGTTAAATCAAGAGGAACTTCCTGTTTCCAAGAATCGGGTCGGTCGATTACGATCTTGCGACACGAACATTCGCGATTAGCGAAGACTAGCAACGGCAAACAATATTACGATTCGCTAGCGACCGACAACTTGCTTTCCGCGATTTTCTGCTTGCCTCACGGGACGATTAGAGATATCGATTATTAGCGTACTCTGAAATTAATACTATCCTCAAGTGAAAAGGGCAAGTTGAAGGACTTCTCCTTCAAGGAAGGAAATCGTTAATGCTATTTTCGAATGCAGGAATTTTATATGCCAAAAATTTTAATCTCTTATTCATATCATTTATTTAATGAATATTAAAAAATGTTAAATTCTTGGAAATGTGAAATAGATACATTACACAATAAGAGCGTATGTTAGAATTTTTTATTATATAGGTTCAGTGAAGCCAAATAGTTGTTACATTTCTTAAATTTTCTCGTCATTTGCGGAAAGAGTTTCTGAGGAATTTTTCAATTCAACGTAGAAGGAAGAATTAATTAATTCCAAATTGTTTAATTTTTATTTTGATTATTTGTCTCTCTTTGCGATTTTTCGGTTTCATTTATTATCGAAAGAAATGTGGTACCGGAATTATTCTTCACGTTGATGTAAAACATCAATTATGCACGATATTTCACATAGGACGACATGTAAGAGTCATACATCTCGACTGATGCTTCGTAAATATATAGTATTTACGCTTCTTTCTCCTTTGCTTTCGTTACAATAGAGTTGCTATTGTAAAGTATGCAGATACTCGTACATTCCGTAACGATATCATTCATTCGTCGTTCAATGAACGTAGAAGCGAGAATTTAAAATGACGCGCGTACAATTTGCATAGATGTACTTGGGAATTTTGTAATCATGTCTTTAAAGTACTCGTACCACTTGTATTATTAAAACAAAATGCAATTCATGCAACTTAAAGTAAATTAGAAGTTGGGAAAATTCCTAACAGTTCTTGTTTCCGTCTTGGTTTTATACAAGTAAAATTTTATATTTTTACGAATCTGATTACAGCGCGATATTTGGTAATGTGTTCTTCAAATATAGAGCCAGCGTTACTTTTATCAATCGTTTTCAACAGTTTATTAGTCCACGAAAATTAATGTAATTTAACGTTGCAGTGAAATCTCGATTATGACATATGTAATTAATTCAAATGTTGTTCGCTCATGTTAAGATTTTGATTTGATCATTGGAAACAATAACTGGAGGAATAAGACTAATTAGAATCTTTTTAATAACAATTTGAGTTTTTAATTTTATATTATAAGTCAATTTTATGATTTTCTCTCTTAACGTTTTCTCTAGAATATTATTTACAGTATTCAACATTATTTATCACATTCAGATTGCATTGTGCATTATTTTAATGCTACAAAAACAGCACAGCACATACTCGGCAACGTATATAAAATTGCAGTGTCAATTTACTTTAAAACTATCCGAAATAAAACGATTAATTTAACACGCGTCGTGTTGCAACTTTCTCGATACAAAACGCACCGTCGAATCCAAATGATTTACGAGCCATTCTCAAAATTGAATAGTTTTAAAGATTTCTGATTTAAAAAAAATTGTATACTCGAAAAAAAAATGCGATAAACTCACCGTGCAGAAGAGGGCTCAGTTTTTTCTTCCAATTGCGATTGCCAAAAACCGAGTGGAGCGATCGCGACGAAGGAAAACGCGGAATGGACCGTTGTCGAACCGACGACGGAACGGCACTGACCGTGTCGGAGCAAGTGCTTGACGCGAACTACTGCGAGTCTGACCGAGTCACTTGCGAGGAGTCTGCGCGGCGTCGTCCGTTACTACTCGCCGCCCACAGCAGGCTCTCTACAAGTCTCTTCTCTTTTCACTTTCTCCCGTGGCTCTTTTCATTTTTCATTTCTATTCGCTTCTCTTTCCCGCCTCCTCGAATTCGGAAGGATATTCGTTAATAGAACGTACGATCCTATATTTCTTGTTAAAGCTGAAAAATTTTCCCCGGTTCTTCGCGGCACAAAGAAATTCTCCTTGATTCTCTTCATTCTCGGCGAATAAACCGATTAATTTCTCAATTAAGTTCTCGAATGTTTCCAGCGCAGCTTAACGTAGTATTAAAGTTTTTTTATTTGAGAAACTAAATGAAAAAATATATCAAAAGTACACAGTTTGTTAATTGTAACTTTGATAATGCACGTGGACGATAAAACGCTATTATTCCGCACGATTAATCTCGACTCACGCCAATTTATCATCGCGTATGAAGTAAATAGTTTTGTAAATAGTATCTTAAGACGCTTCAAAGACTCTTCTCTTGCGACTTAGTCGACGCATTTTGCAAAGTCCGGAATTGTTCTCCAGAATTCCTGGCACGAATATTATTTCCGGATGATCACCTTTCAATGCAATTATCTTCTTGCTGCAAAATTCGGATTCTGTGCGAAGCATGTCGGGAGACTTGTTGTAAGTCGTTCTAAGCGAACTTTCCGGAGGAAAGCGGAAGTTTCCTCCAGCTGACAATCGAGCAACTCCTCGCACAACTGCCGGGATATAGGCTGCACCCCTCATGTACGCACATAAGCTGTTAACGTTCAAAATTGCATGCACAATGTTCTTGAAAGCCGTGCAAAGTGTAGAAAATTTCTGCCGTGAATGCTCGTTGAATTTTCAGTGTTTGTTTTTTTTTTGGAGTTACCGCTGATTAAATACCGCAACTAAAATCTGCAAATTTTAAACGAACTTTTTCCACCGCGCTAAATGAAGACAATATGCACACGAAACCTTTTATCTTCGTTATTCAGTTTATTTTCCCCGCGTAATTTCCGCTACTTCCGCAGTTAGCTGCAGACATTAATCACAATTACGAGGAAAATATTGTACTACAGTTAATCGTTATAAAATCAAAATTACGAACCATTTTATTATAGCTTCCGTTTTCTCGAATGGTAATTTAGACGGAAGTGCTCTCCGTCTTGACCGATTAATCAATATCTAATAATCGCGCTTCATATTTGATAATCACGTACATAAAGCCGCGATAATGCGCGAACGCTCCTTTCTCCTCGCGGTGCGGCGGTTTACTTACGTAATAGTTTACGAGCTATACATACTATGTAGCAGTCCGCAACTTTATTAACGATGTTGTTACCAGTCTCTGTTGAGCGGTTTCTCAGCAAGTTGGTCCTATAGAGTCGCGCGCTATCCGCAAAGACTTCGCGATTAGATCAGCTGCAAAGAATCATTTATCACGACAAATCGGCAGAACGCGGGGCATTATCTCGACGGTGGATCAAGATCGGTCGTGGCCGTCGTCTACGAGCGTCTAATCTTATACAGTGCTGCGAAATAATGTACACACAAACGTTGCTTTAGTCTATCATCGTTTATTGTATAAATATATCACCAAATAATATTACGTAGTAAGATTGCGTCTGCGTAACGCGAGAAAGAATGCGATAGAGATCGAACGGAAAGGCTACCGTGGGGGACAAAAGAAAAAAGGGAGGGAAAGGTTCGGGCGGGGAAAGGGGAGAAACGATATGATGGACTTAAAAGAAAAGAGAAATATATATGTAACTCGTATTGCTGCACCGGGAAGTTTTCATGACGCAAGCAAGGAAAGCCGTATATTTTCCTGGCAGAAGCAACAAAGTAAGTGGCAAACCGTCATACTTCCTCCACTCGCGTAGATCGATTGGAAAGGAAAAGCTGGTCGCAAGTTCGATCCTGAGAGCCTCGTCGTCACGAGTGCATTCGCTCTCTTCTTTCTTTTTTTTCTTTACATAATATAGTAAAAATATATCTCTTCGATTTCTAGGAAATATCGTTATCATCAGCAATATCATTTATGATCATCGTCGTCATCGTTATTATTAATATCAACCTCAATTAGCTTATGTATCACTAGAACAATGGAAAATTGTAAACGCACCCTTCCTTTACGCACTACTCCAAGGCTTCGAGACCATAGCTTTGTGAAAGGAATTTTTCAAGTATATTATCGAAACAACTATTACATATTCATCTCAAAAGAGATAAGAACGCTCAACAATAATGTCGAATTATCGAGCTTCCGAATTGTTTCATGAAAACTGTATTCAAATATCGAGATATGAAACTTTCTGATACTCTGGCTGAGTTTCTTCTGTAGAGCTGTGCTCTCGAATGCTATCCGGAGGGTGATTACCTTTCGGCTTAATCGATGAATCCACAGGTAAGGGAAGGCCTCGTCATTCTGATTCTTCGATCGCAATATCACGCCCATACTCTCTAACAACAAATAGGAAATCTATATCGGACGTTGACGCGATCTCCGGGGTGATCGAATTGTCCCGTCTTATTACGCATTTATGTATTATCTCGACAACTTTTTACGCATCGGTCTCGCGTGTCTGAATCGTTGGATGACGCAACGGCTAACGTTTTACCTTGGACATCTCTCCCACTTCGTGAATAATTAAATGTAATTGCTCTGATGTTTGGCGAGCGCTCCAAAAAGTTGAAAGAGAGGGAGAGAGAGAGATGTCTTTCGTAGAGTACGCACAATTTGGTAAAATTCCCGCGAGACATCAACGACTCGCACACGATTACTTAATAATCCGCGCATGAATTTTCGAAGGAATTCGCGTTCCCTCGGCGAAACTAACTGCGTCGAGGCAAAGGAACTTTCCCTCACCCGAAAGACTCGGGCACAACCCTGAAAATATTATATACATTATCTCTTCTATACTTCGCCGCTCTATCTTTCGTCTAACTTTCTTTCTTTTTATTATGGCAAACACGAAATTATTCGTTGCTCGAACCTTCGCAATCCGACGGAAAGAAATAAAACGAGAAGGAAGAGAATGAAGGACAAGCGTCCTCGCACGTGTGCATAGAATCGTATTTTCGGTCGCGCGTTTAGCACCAAATGGGATTCTTTACCATCGAGTTAGTTATCTGTTACGACGATTGCACGTAATGTAAAGATAAGACGCGAGTTGGATTTAGCGCTAAATGCACGCCCTGGCAACGAAGAAAGTTAATACGGAAACGTTCAACGGTGAAGTAACGATCGCGTACGACTAATAACACCTTAACGACCAAAGTTCGACCGTTGCGCACGTAAGCACCTAACAAAAAGATAAAATTCAACAATGCCAATGTATTCAGCACATATAGGCCTAGTCACAACTGAAGTTGTCGTGCGCCGCACGCTAATGTGAATGCGTATTATTTTTTTAAGATGTTTCCAAAGAGTGAATGTGTATATGTGCGTGTACGCAACAGAAATATGCGCGCGTTTTATAAAATCCTTTTCCGCTTTTCTTTGTAAGATTTTTCAAAAGTCGTGTATATAAAGTCGTATAAAGTAAGAGTTGCTCGACAAGCGAAAAATCCAAGTTCGATTACTGTTTCAGTCGCTTGCGTTGTGGCAGTTTTTGTCGTCTATGAAATTTCTGATGATGTCCCGCAATGAAAATACTTTTTAATTAAAAATCCTTCGTAAAATTTAATTTGAGAAGGGACAAATCGTTTAATATCTTCAATATGATTTCCGCTATTATAGCTGTCGTAACCTTCTCTTCTTTAAGAAAATTGATCTAAAACAATTTCTCGAAAATCATTGAAAGCTTGCTGCAATAACTGCACGATGGGAAAAGTTTCTTATACATATATTATATCATTTAGAAAACAGTATTATCGAGTACGTATAAACGTGTGTAAAGTAAAATAAATATCTGCGTCCTAATGCAGAATATTTAAATTTTCGGGAAATCGTTTGTCGAAAAATTATTTTTATTTTATTTTATCTTTCTCATAGCTTACTCCACGATAATAGAGTAAACTCCACCATTCGGTAATTGATTTGTGAACATTAGAAATCGCATTCGATAATGCAAATGTCGTGTAATTCTGGGTTCAATACGGCTTTGTGAGACGTCTTCCGGTGTGAGCAGGCCTTAAAGGCATCGACCAACGCGCTGATTACGACCGCTTCGATCGATACTCGATCCCACGGCTTCTTCCCGATCGGACGTCCTTTTCTCGTCGATCACAGATAATTGCCAGCCGACGAAGACTGCAATTATTGCACGCCGACTTCCGCAATTTGCTCGCCAATCGTAAATGCGAGTCGATCTTTTTCAAACGGGCTCATTAGAACTTAAACAACCCCGGCGGAGACACCGCGATCTTCAGAAGGCGCAATACCAAATTCGACTAATTGATTTAAATTCCTACGATTTGATCACCCAGCTCCGTACTTTGTCGATCCGCGAATTAATATTATACTTGGTGTCGCTCGTAAATTTCGTCGAACAATCACTAAGCCCTAACTGAATCTGCGGCTTGTTGAAGACCTTTAATATCGCATTGGCTGCCAAACACCGGTGGTTTCGTCTCGGCGGTAGTAATGAGGTCTGTTATCCCGGAAGACGGTGACGGCCGGAAATTGATTGTCTTGGATATACTTGAGCGTCGCTCGAACCTGAAACAGAAATTTCGACGTTGCTTAACGATGCGTGGGAAAACGCGGCGCAATTCGATTTCCCGCTTAATGCTTTCTATCTCCTCGAGAAACTAACGATAACGACGTCGCGTAGCGTTCCAAGCGGCGTTACCTGCGATACGAAATGTGGTTGCTCCACCTCCGGCGACGTGGACAGGTGCTGCAGGATGAACTGATCGGTTTGCGCCAGCCAGAGATCCACGCCACGCAGGGGGTCGTAGTTAAACGGGCCGATTCTAAGTAATCCCAATGCGCAATCGTATATGTCCAAAACCTGTGCACGCAGACAGAATGCACGTGCAATTCACTCAATATGTTATTTTCTTTTCGTTTCGCTTGTAAGCTAATAGTCGAGGGGGAAACCACTGAGGGCATTGCGGTGTACAGACTTACGGCATTACTGGGCATTACTAGGCATTACTAGGCATTTTTTTAGCATTAGTTTGGGCATTAGGCCTTGCCGGGGTATTATGAAGATAAAATAAGATTAAATAAGATTAAATAAGATAAATAACATAAAAAATGAGATAATAAGATAAAGCAATGCACTGGGCATTAGTGGGCATTGGTGTACAAGATTTTGGTCAGCGGTTTCCCCCTCGCTAGTAGTCTCGTCCAGCTACAATAGTGTCGCTAATGCAAAAGACGCGTACACGCACCTGCTGACCTCCGGTCAACTGTCTGGCGCACCTCAGTGCCTGATCTGGACCTTTGTCGGGGAAAGTCGCGGGAAAGATCTCGCCCGTCTTCACGTTCAGCCCGATGCCGTAGATCAACGGCCAATGAATCCCACCTCTCACGGTGGTGTTCAGCTCGCCCACGCAGCACAGCGTTAGATCGATCTCCACCGGTTGCTTGTGAAATGCGGCTAGAAGACGATCGGTCCGGTTAACATCCTACAGACGAAGCCGAAGGCGGCGATTTCGTTCTACTTTAGCTATCCTATTTAACAATTGTTCGAAGAACTCCGGCGTTTCTATATAATTGGACGTAATTTTCATTTTTAAAGTTCAGTGCGTTAATTGAAGTTCGGTCGATCTTGATTGAATATTCTTCCAGAAAACGCAATATCGTAAACGTGAAAATTCAGTTCTATTTCGTTTATTTAATTCATCTTTTTAATCCATTTCGAACGAAGCAAGTAAATGAACTGTGAACACACTGTGTTCGCGAATAAAGGCAGAAATAGGCAAAATTATTTCTGCTGGTTTATACGTTAAACTAAAAAGACTCTCGGCGAGCCATAGATAATAGGGATGCTGCATCAGAAGTACATTTTCACGTACAAAGTATATTGTAGAATAATTCCTCGGAATAGTTTCTCGGGTCGGAGTAGCCGCCGACCAACTGCAGCTCCAAGCGACCTTCGGGGTATCCGAGGGTGAGTTCCGTTACCCTCTGAATCATTGCTGCCGCGGCATCTTCCGTTCCAGAGCCGTCAAGGTGCGCCAGAGCGGCGGCGCCCGAGCCTGAAATATTCGAGGACGCGACATTCGCAGCCCTTACGATTACTAAAATCAAGCACGTCGATCGGTTATTTATTAGTCGGCCGGTTACGTCTAATTATTAAAAAAATATCTTATAAAACATTGAACTATATTACCTGGGGTACATGTTAAGCATCATTTTTATTAAAATTACGTTTCAACGTAAAATCTTACATTAATAACGAATATCCGCGAATTAGCCTCGGCGCAATGCACCGGATGAACTTTGTATTGTTTCTTTTATTAATTATCATTAGAGGAGAGTCCTCCCATTATGAGATAGACTCCTAATATGGGATAGCGAGGTCTCTGTTAAATTGATAGCATCATCTGTTGGTTCCACCATGTGAATTTCTTGCCTTTGGCGTGAAATCCGTTTAGTGGAAATTTTATTGTTAGATCGCGTGTGTAATTGTTGCGAAATTGGATGCGGAAAACTCACTATCTCATATTAGGAGTCTATCTCATAATAGCGGACTTTCCTTTACTATTTATATCATTGAACAATAAGTTTAATAGTATATTTATTTCGGTTGAAAAGATGAATCGAGAGAAATATCAAAATGGTCAAATGAGTTATCACCGCTTGCATGCTATTATCTTCTTATAACTGCTCGTTATGCATCTCCTTTTCGGAAAGAATTACCGATTAAAAAATTTTTGTTTAAATATTGCTGCCGCGGTGATCATCGCAAATTCAGCATTTATCGTCGAATCGAGAGACCAAAAACGCTCACGATGCGCTAAAACGATTCAGCATAAATCCGAGAGCATCCGCGCGTCCAGAATTAATCACGATTCGTTAGATGTAATTTATCTTAAAGATAACGAAATAGAACAAAAAGTAACGATTAGAAACCCGTGAGTATGTCTTTGCAGTGTTAGAGAAAATTTTTCAAGACGCGATTGACGCAATTTCGCGTTTTTGCAGAGACAAACGAACGCTATTTTGATAATGTGTATCTATGCATTGGTGATAAATCGGTGATGATATGTCGTATACTGAACAATGATAATATATATAGCTACACGTGCTGCTTTTTCTCGATTTCGACTTATCATATTTTTTTACGCTGTCATTCCGATCGATTTTTACATGTTGGACAATCACTATGCTTACCAAATGTGCATCATCAACTATCTTGTGCGATATATTATTAATTGAAGAACAAAGGCGATTTTTGCAACAATAAATTCTGAGCGTTTGTCCAGCTGTTGCACGAGCGCAATGTAAACGAGTGGACGGGAAGGACTCGCGACAAAAGGACTTTTATATCGCCAACTGTTACTTAATTACGTACTTTCGCAGTCGCTTTCTACCTCGGTCGTTATTCACGCGCAACCTTAAGACGATCGGAGACACCCAGCTTGCGTCGCGATGTACTATCGTCTCGGCAGGAGAAAGCTAAGGGGAACGTATCCGATAGTTTCGTTGAGAAATATAATAACAAGTTCTTCGCGATACGAAATGCATCATTGTTCGGAAAAACATTCAACAAGTCCGTATGTGATTCTTATTATTTATAAATATCCAATTGACGGAATACGCGTAAAGAAATGGTCATATAATAATTTTGATACATTTTTAACGCCCACAAGAGCACACGAGATTACAGCAACGTTTTCCTGTTTGTTACTTTTTGCCGATACTAAGAAACGTCACGATGGAAAGTTTCACAAATAGCTAAACCATAAATCGCAATTACTTCCCCGAAGCTCTATAAACTTGATATCGTAGGATTAGCAAGGCATTTTAAATGACTTTGTGATATGGACGTGAATCGTAAGCTGAATCAGCACATTTTCCTTCGAGCTCGAGTGGCGGAACTGGTTCTATTAAACGGCTCGTCTTTTCGAAAGAAGTGGCGTTTCGCATTTTGCACGTTACATCATTTAGTCGTTATATCATGGAGGAGTCAATGATCGTGCGAACGAGAAGTAAATCTATTGTGTGCCCGGACAAAGGAAATAAAAAGCGACGGAAAGCCCAAAGACGATTACGGGCGTCCACAGTTCTCGTTTAACGATATTTCTCACAAGTTTTTGCTCGTTAGCTCCGCGACTAATTTACGGTCCGCGACAAGCAGATTGCAATTGGATTTCCTGTCTATTTTCACTCGACGACTCTTCCCTTCCTTCACACTTGCAAAATTCTGTACTTAATAACTTTGTAGCTTTCTCGTAAAATTAGGTTTCTGATATTTAAACGATAACTTTCCGAAATCTTTGATTCAACTCTCTAAAAGTCAACCAGTGCGCCGAAAACAGTTATAAGTATAGCACTGAATTATTCATAACTTATGACTGTGAATCGATGAATATTCACTTTTTCAGTGATAATCCACCGAGTGACTTTTAGAGAGAAAGTTTTCTTATAGAATATGAAAGGGCAATATATATATATAAATCCTGACGAAAAAGCTTTCCGCGCATTTCTCTTTATTAGAAATCAATTTCAACTTCGTTCAAACATTTGATATACATGTTAAGATCGGTGGTACAGCGACACTGTTTCGTATTAAATATTTTCCAACGAATGCGATACCGATCAAACAGTCGCGCTTTGCCATTGCGTTATCCCGACCTCTTTTTCTCTTTGTTGTGCCGCAAGCGGTCATTTATATGCAACTGGCAGCTATTTTATAATGAGCACGATTGTACTTTCAAATATACTCACCGGAATGCCTGACGACAACGATTATGCATGTGGTCATGTCGTCCGAACCGAGGATGCTCACGTTCTCTGTGAAGGGAAAAAAGAATAATCGGTACGGCAACAAGCGAAATACGGCGCTTCGAAAGGTTGCGGATTGTTAGGATTATCTATTCGTCGATGCGGTAGGCTTTCCATATAAGATTATATAAGATAAATTTTTTCATGTTTCAGACGTACCTTTGCTTTTCTATAGAGAAAGGTATTAAGATATCTCGCGTTTGCAAGAGAAACAACGCTCTTCCTTGTATTCCTCTCAGTATCTTTAAATCAAGCTGTATCTCGCTTCAATCTTGCCTCAAATGTTTATTGCATCGTCACGCGTCGCAAAAATTGCAAAGTTAAAAAAATATTTTAAACACGGTTTTTAAAAAATTAAGCTGGTCTAGCCACGTACCATTTGTCGATTTAGAATGTCTTTAACATAAATGCCATATTACACACAAGAGTAACGGTCACTTTTTATGCGATAAAGATTGCTGATAAAAATTTATTCTACATTCTGAGAAAAAGATAAGAAAATCTCTATTGCGAAGTATCACCAGATTTATCCAGACATTACAGCGAAGCACGTGGAAAGATATGTCTCGTTACGAGATTTACTGTTGTTATTGCAGCATAATAACGAATCTCGGTTATTTTTGGACGTCACACCATCGGAAAAATTGGTCTGTCATTTACAGTTGTCCGATAACGCGCAAAATAATGCCCGGGCATCCGGCTGATTTATCGCTCGCGCGGCTGCTTTTTTATTCTCATAATTAAGTGTAATCACAGCTGGTAGGTTGCGTCAATCCCGCGATATCGCGGCAAAAGTAGCCGGTAATATTCGATATCTTTTTAAGAGATAACCAGGAGATCGCGTGACTATTGCATCAGTAACATATTCTCTCTGATAGATACCGCGAGAGATTATTTTTCGAAAAGATTACGCTTCTCTCTCCCGCAGGGATGACTGATCCGCACAGTCATTTGGGTCTAGCGAACCCACGGGTCCCGAGCTCAATACACCTGCATACATTTACATATCATATGCATCATATGATGTATAAATTTCTGTAAGCAGTGTAAGCGACAGTGCAATGAACATTTGAGGAAAAGTGAAAGATGCAACCTAATTTGTAAATAACAAGAAGAACTAGAATAAAACATGCGTTCGATACCGTGGTGTAGGCTAACGATAGCTGAATCTCATAGTTTATTTATATCTTTTAAATATAAAAAAGATTGCATCTTTGAAATAAAGTACATTCATGATTATTTCTCCATTATTTAGTAATTTTACCGCATATTGTAATAATAATTGATAAAACAATTTTTTAACTTTAAAGAACATGAAAAGAGCCGCCTTATTTTAAGGGGATACTGGAGTGATTTGATTTACTGACAGAGTCGCATATAGTTTTTGGGCTTGTAAATCCCTCAAGGAACGTAACCTCAATATGTTGCATATTCAGGCTACGATTATATATTGAGAATTCTCTCTCTCTCTCTCTCTCTCTCTCTCTCTCTCTCTCTCTCTCTCTCTCTCTCTCTCTCTGATTCGCGATTTTCATTCTTTATCTAAGAATTGCAGTACTGTCTACTGTAATTCTGGTGAATTAAATTTGTTAATTTCTCTCATCATGCCAATATAGGTATATTACAGATACAAAGCAAAATAATTATTTGGCTTTTATGTACAAAATAATACCAGACCGGATTGTGGACTGCATAGTAGAACATTTTCATATAAAAAAAACATTGAGGTTTGAAGTCTAATTCGTATCACATTATGTAGGTATTTCAAATTTTCAAATACATAATGCGATACGAAATAGACTTCAAACCTCGATGTTTTTTATATGAAAATGTTCTACTATGCAGTCCACAATCCGGTCTGGTATTATTTTGTACATAAATGCCAATAATAAGATTTACAAACGCAAAAACTGTATGCGACTTTGTCGGTAAATCAAACCACAAACGATACTTAATGAAATTCACGAGTCTTCGTATTTTTACTAAACTGCACTGTCTTCAAAAATAATTTACTTGAAACTGGATCCAGACAAGGAAAAAAACGGGGAAAAAGACAAAGAAACGTTTGCCGGCGGCGGTGTCCGCGTTTACTGAAACGAGTTGCACGTGCTTGTCGTATCGTTTTCTCGAATCCAACTCGAACGCACCGAGATGCATTGTACTTACTGTCGTGCGGCAGTGTCGCAGCCATTTCTCGTTGTTGAACGTAAAGGAGGCCCACCGGGCCCACGAGTTTCGCCGGCATCGAGTGCAGCTGGGCCGCGCTCTCGCGGTATACCGGATGGGCCGCGTACAAGGACCTGCTGTCCGCAGGAATCTCTTCCTGCAGGACCACCCCGCCCACCACCAGCACCATCCTGCGAAAGCGAAACGAAAGGCGATTATTGCGAGATGAAAAAAAAGCAAATGCTTCATCGCGTTTGACGTATTACGACTAAAAGACGACGTACGCACGTTCGACACGCGTAAAATCAATTCCGCGAGACAACAATACGCTCGCGAACGATTAATAATTTATACCAGCGACGGCCATTCCTCGCTATTTAATTTCCATTTTATTTCTCCACTGACGCACGTGGTCTCAGAAAATCGACGACGAGATTCGTTATCGGACAAAGTTCATCCAGGAAGTGCGTTGGCAGAAACGTATCTGACAGACAAATGGAAAAGGCGTGTTTGAAAAATGTGTCACATATTATACATTCTT